CTTATGACCCATCTGGTAGGCCTCAGTGGTGGACCGACTGCGCCAGGTGCGTCTGTGCGCATGTTTGTGTTTCTGGTCCCAGCTGCTGGTGGTCAGGGTTATGATTGGCTGAATGAAGGCAGAATAAGCGCGAAACAGTGCTGTATTAATCTACCCGCATTCTCTGTCGTCCCTCCTCGCTGCTATTATGACTTGGCCGACTTCGGCCTGATAATTGGTTGCCTGTTCGTGACCTTTGCCACACATACGGAGCTTGTTTGCTTTGTGAAGCCAATAGATCGGTGTGCGCCCATTCCTGATTGATATATATATATATATATATATATATATGTACTGGAAGATGGGCATCCCAAGAAACATAATTCGAAGAAGAATGAGTCCTTTGGGAAAATGAACAAACTTTATTTCGTAAATTTTCGAGTCTGGTTCCCCAGCTCGTCTTCAGACGTGTAATAAGTGTGAAGAAATAGTCAACATTTAAACAATGCCGAAAAAATCGATATTGCTCTGTCATGACTGAGGATGGGCTAATGCTGTGGGCTGATGTCACGTCGTGATTGGCTATTACCTTTTCCATTTTTCTTTGAGACTTGTGTACATGGTATCAAGGTCGATGCGTCGATTGATGCATGAATCATCAGAGTGAATGGCCTCTAGGAATTCTCGGCCTTTCTTATATGGGCAGGAACCGACAATGCGTGTTTTATCCCAAGCGAATTTGTGCCCAGTTTCAAGAGTATGCATGGCGACTTGGGATAAGTGGTCCCGCCTCTTCACTGCCAATTGGTGTTCATGTAGGCGTGTAGAGGCGGATTTTCCGGTTTGACCACAATACACTGCATTACAAGTGCCACATGGAATCTTATAGACCACTTCTTTCTTATCCAAATAGCCAACCCTATCCTTAGGGTGTACAAGCTGATTGCGTAGCATGGTAGTCGGTTTGTGAGCCACTTGTATTTGGTGCTTCCTCAGGTGTCTTGCAACGAGTTCAGACACATTTTTAATGTAGGGAAGCGTTCGCCAATGTTTTGGTTTTGGCGTCTGATCGGAACAATCTAGTTCCTTCTCTCTTTCTTTTGATTCCTGCTCTTTCATGCATCTGCGTACAAAATCTCTGGGGTAGCCATTTTGGGAAAATAGGTTGAATAGATAATTGAGTGGCTCACAAACCGACTACCACGCTACGCAATCAGCTTGTACACCCTAAGGATAGGGTTGGCTATTTGGATAAGAAAGAAGTAGTCTATAAGATTCCATGTGGCACTTGTAATGCAGTGTATTGTGGTCAAATCGGAAAATCCGCCTCTACACGCCTACATGAACACCAATTGGCAGTGAAGAGGCGGGACCACTTATCCCAAGTCGCCATGCATACTCTTGAAACTGGGCACAAATTCGCTTGGGATAAAACACGCATTGTCGGTTCCTGCCCATATAAGAAAGGCCGAGAATTCCTAGAGGCCATTCACTCTGATGATTCATGCATCAATCGACGCATCGACCTTGATACCATGTACACAAGTCTCAAAGAAAAATGGAAAAGGTAATAGCCAATCACGACGTGACATCAGCCCACAGCATTAGCCCATCCTCAGTCATGACAGAGCAATATCGATTTTTTCGGCATTGTTTAAATTTTGACTGTTTCTTCACACTTATTACACGTTTGAAGACGAGCTGGGGAACCAGACTCGAAAATTTACGAAATAAAGTTTGTTCATTTTCCCAAAGGACTCATTCTTCTTCGAAATATATATATATATATTATGATAGTGGGCGCTCACCGATCAGGTTACGGAACATGCTCGTTCCGTTGTGCCTTGGGGCTCATACTTAAACCCTCGCAGGCAGTCGCACAGCGACTAATAGTAGACATCGATGAGATGATACCGACAAAGACAAGGGAGACCGGAATGGCCATTTCTGGCTTATTAGCCGTCATCAGCCAGTCATACCCAACCCCAAGTGTGGATCACTTGAGATTCGAACCCGGGATCTTTGGTCATGGAGTTTGACGCTCTACCATTGGCAAAAACGAAGGAAGACTAAGATGGACATCTCTGGCTTATTCGCTGTCGTCGGATATATATGCATAAGCATTCGAAGATAGGCGTTCAAGTAATATAAGTTGAAAGGAGATAAGTTCTATGGGACAAGAGGCTTTATTGTGTGAATTTTCGACGATGGTTTTCCAGGTCGTCATCAGACGCAGACGGAGGGCAAACGAGAGAACAAGAAACACTTAACGTCACGAGTCCACAAAATCGGTGCTAGCTGGGCATTTGCGCCGGTAGGCGGCCGCTGTGTGTGTCACCATGATCTGTTTGGTTCTTTCTTTTTACATTTTTCCTTGAGGTTTTTGTACACGGCATCCAACTCGATATGCCAGTTGATGAGTGATTTATCCGAGTGCATTGCCTCGAGGAATTCTCAGCCTTTCTTGAAAGAGCAGACAGCAACAATGCGAGCTTTGTCCCAAACGAAGGTGTTTGCGGTGTCTAGCGTATTTATGGCCACTTGGGACAAATGATCTCGCTTCTACTGACATGTGGTGTTCATGGATTCGCATTGAGGTGGATTTTCCAGTCTGAACACAATAAATGGCAACACATGCATCGCAGGAGATCTTGTAGACGACCTCTTTCTTGTACAGCTGGCTAACCCTATCTTCAGGATCTACCAGCTGAGGGCGCAAAGTAATCGAATGTGTTGCTTCCTTAAGTGTCTTTCGACAAGTACAGACACATTCTCAATGTAAGGAAGAGTTCGCCAAGTGCTTAGTTTAGTCGTCTGATTGGAAACACCAGGTCATTTTTCCCTTGATTCCTGCTGCCTCATGCATCTGAGTTTAAAATCCTTAGGGCGCACATTTTACAAAAATAATTCACGCAAGTAATTCAGTTCGATTTGGTAGTCTTCTACGTCAGAACAATGCGTTTTTGTCCGACTATGCAGACTCTTGACAGCACTCCGTTTTGGAGAAATAGGTTGGTTGTTCTTATAAGGTAGACTGACTTTAGCGAAAGTTTCTCCCCGGTAAACGGATGTGCGTATCGTTCCGTCGGACTTTCGCTGCACGAGAACATTCAGAAACGGGAGCTTGCAATCAGCTTCCTTTTCAAGTGTGAATTTAATCCCAGGAATTGTTGAGTTGATAATGTTATGGAGCATTTCTAGTTAGTCCTTTTTACAATAATAAATGTATCATCCACATATCGAAGGCAACATTAAGGAGTAACTAGCAGCAGCGTTGTAGCCTCTAGTTTCCGCATTGTTATTTCAGTGAGAAAACCAGAGATGGGGGACCCCATAGAGGCTCCCTTCACTTGCTTGTAGCATTGCTGGACGAATGAAAAGTTAGTTCCCAAGCATAAGTCTATCGGTTCGGGCACAGCAGCGGGGGGGACATCAGTGTCGTAGCACAACGAGAGTTCCTCTGTGCATTGTTTTGCGGAATGCAACGGTATGGACGCGAAGAGTGAAACGACATCAAAGTAGACCATCGGTAAACATTGCTATTCCTTGCAATTCCTTTAGGAATTCTGCAGAGTTTTCAATTGAAGTTTTAAAATGCTTTGTGAACAGATACAGGTTCTGGAATAGCTATTTGCAAATCTTGTGGTTAGGCTCACCGATTAGTGATACTATCGGTTGTAGTGGAACCTAGGTTTTGTGTAATTTAGGCAATTCATAAATCTTCGCGATGGTCGGCTCAGTTTGCTTGAGCGATTAAGCAATATCTACTGACGTTTCCGTCTTCCCTGTGAGACGCCTCAATCACCGACAAAGACAAGGGAGACCGGAATGGCCATTTCTGGCTTATAAGCCGTCATCAGCCAGTCATACCCAACCCCAAGTGTGGATCACTTGAGATTCCAACCCGGGATATGTGGTCATGGAGTTTGACACTACCTTAGAGCCACGGACCCGTTTTCCTGTCGGCTGTGATCGGGAATATCAATTATAACATAAAATATATGTCATAATGTCATACTATATATATATATATATATATATGTATAACGAGTGAGTTCCGTACGAACGATCGGTGAGCGCCCCCTACCATTGTATATTCCCGATCGAAAATCGACAGGACAACGGGCTCGTGGCCCGGTGGGTAGAGGCGTGGACTTCTAAACCAACAGGTCGCGAGTTCGAGGCTCGGGTGCTCCACACTTCGGGCTTGGGTATGGCTGGCCGACGACGGCTAATAAGCCAGAAATGGCCATTCCAGTCTCCCTTGTCTTTGTTGGTAATACCATTCTGCCTATATATCATGCGCCGCTGTGCGGCTGCTGGTTGGGCTCGAGAGAGAGCCCTTAAGGCACAACGGAACGAGTGAGTTCCGTATGAACGATCGGTGAGCGCCCCCTAACATTGTATATTCTCATTCGAAAACCGACAGGGTAACGGGCTTGTGGCCCGGTGGATAGAGGCGTGGACTTCTAAACCAACAGGTCGCGAGTTCGAGGCTCGGGTGCTCCACACTTCGGGCTTGGGTATGGCTGGCTGACGACGGCTAATAAGCCAGAAATGGCCATTCCAGTCCCCCTTGTCTTTGTCGGTAATACCATTCTGCCTATATATATATATATATATATATATATATATATGGATATAAGCGAAAATGCTGACCCCAGGTGTAGAAATGGAAGAAGGAGATAAGGCGTTCTCTGGGGAGGAAGATTTAATCGTCTGACGTTTCATACTCGTACTCGAGCACATCATCGGAGACAGGCCAAATGAGAAAATACATGGTTTAAATAGGCCATTCGTGCTCGCGCCTGATAGGTCGATCCCGCTCTCCTCTTATTGGCCCTCCTCTGGCGCGCAAGTGGTGCCTGATGGCCTCGTATGGCGCTGGTAGGTCAATACTGCGGTTAATCGAGTTGGCGTCTGATTGCCAGGCTTCGATTACTTCTCTCGCTAGCTTGCTTTCGGCTCGGCCGAGTACTTGGGCACCGTCAAAGTCGAACGCGTGACACTCGCACGTCGCCATGCACTGTCTAGAAAATAATCACGCGTTCGACTTTGTGCCAGCGGACAAAGGACGGGCAACCGTAGTGCTAGACAAGTCGGAGTACGTTGCCAAAGCGCAGCAGCTACTAAATGACAACCAATCGTATAAAGTCATCGACGCCGACCCCATGAAAGCACTTGTGGGCAAGGTCAACAAGAGCCTGAACCAGATGAGGAACGAAAAGGCAATATCAGAAAAGGATTGGAGACAAATGAAACCACAAGATGCTGCCTTAGCGCGCTTTTATGGTTTGCCAAAAGTCCACAAGCCAAATGTTCCCCTACGGCCCATTGTGGCGCTGAAAGGTACGCCTACCTACGGACTGGCTAAATGGCTCGCTAAACATTTAAAGGGGCTGACAGATGGCTCAGAACATACAGCCGTATCTTCAACACACTTCCTGGAAAAACTCGAAGGGGTTGCAATAGCCCCCGACGAAGTAATGGTATCCTTTGACGTCGTCTCTCTATTCACCTCCATCCCAAAAGAATTGGCCATGAAAGTCATCAATGACCTACTGGAGAGAAAGTACGACGAAGAGGGGAAACCGTTTAAGCGGAAGCACGTGATGGAACTATTGGACTACTGCCTACGCACGTACTTCACTTTTAATGGTCAAATTTACGAGCAAATCCAGGGAACCCCTATGGGGTCTCCGATTTCCGGCTATCTGGCTGAGGCGGTCATGCAGGAACTGGAAGCTCGAGTCTTTCAGTCCTACAAGCCGAAGTTCTGGATGCGCTACGTGGACGACACCTTTGTCATCTTACACCGGGACGCGAAAGACAACTTTAAAAGGCAACTGAACTCGGTCTTCCCACAAATTCAATTTACCATGGAGGAAGAAAAAGACGGAGTGCTTCCTTTCCTCGACGTTCAGGTAACGAGGCAAGAAGACGGAACGCTCCAGACTGGTGTCTTTCGAAAAGCGACAAACACGGAGATAATTCTCCACTACAACAGTAACCATCCCCTGTCGCATAAACGCAGCTGCGTCCGGACGCTTTTTCGCCGCATCAACACACACTGCAGCACAGAAGCCGAGAAGCTGCGGGAGCGTGAAACCCTATGGCACCTCTTCCTGGCCAATGGATATCCGCGCAGTTTCGTAAACAAATGCTTATACCAAAGACATACGAGGGCCGACCGTGAGAACACACAAAGGCCTACAACCTTCCGCGTTCTGCCTTACGTGAGAAACGTATCCGAAGCCACTGAGCGCATGCTAAGGCCACTAAGCGTGGGCGTTGGACACCGACCGGAGGCCACCACCCGCCGCATACTCATGCAGGCCAAGGGCCGGCTACCACCTGCAGACACGTCAGGCGTCATTTACCGCGTCAAATGTCTAGACTGTCTGGCCAACTACTGCGGCATGACGGACAAACGTCTGCGCACGCGCGTGCACGAGCACGCCTTAGCCGTAAAGCGAAAGGATGTACATTCGCACGTCGCCATGCACTGTCTAGAAAATAATCACGCGTTCGACTTTGACGGTGCCCAAGTACTCGGCCGAGCCGAAATCAAGCTGGCGAGAGAAGTAATCGAAGCCTGGCAATCAGACGCCAACTCGATTAACCGCAGTATTGACCTACCAGCGCCATACGAGGCCATCAGGCGCCACTTGCACGCCAGAGGAGGGCCAATAAGAGGAGAGCGGGATCGACTTATCAGGCGCGAGCACGAATGGCCTATTTAAACCATGTATTTTCTCATTTGGCCTGTCTCCGATGATGTGCTCGAGTACGAGTATGAAACGTCAGACGATTACATCTTCCTCC